CCAACATCATCAGCTGAGACCTCGACAATTGCCACCTCGACCGCTGAGACTACTACAGTTCCGACATCTTCAGCTGAGACCTCGACAATTGCCACCTCGACCGCTGAGACTACTACAGTTCCGACATCTTCAGCTGAGACCTCGACAATTGCCACCTCGACCGCTGAGACTACTACAGTTCCGACATCTTCAGCTGAGACCTCGACAATTGCCACCTTGACGGCTGAGACTAGTACAGTTCCGACATCTTCAGCTGAGACCTCGACAATCGCCACCTCGACCGCTGAGACTACTACAGTTCCGACATCTTCAGCTGAGACCACGACAGCCGAGACCTCGACAATTGCCACCTCGACCGCTGAGACTAGTACAGTTCCGACATCTTCAGTTGAGACCTCGACAATTGCCACTTCGACCGCTGAGACTACTACAGTTCCGACATCTTCAGTTGAGACCTCGACAATTGCCACTTCGACCGCTGAGACTAGTACAGTTCCAACATCTTCAGCTGAGACCTCGACAATTTCCACCTCGACCGCTGAGACTACTACAGTTCCGACATCTTCAGCTGAGACCTCGACAGCCGAGACCTCGACAATTGCCACCTCGACCGCTGAGACTACTACAGTTCCGACATCTTCAGCTGAGACCTCGACAATTTCCACCTCGACCGCTGAGACTACTACAGTTCCGACATCTTCAGTTGAGACCTCGACAATTGCCACTTCGACCGCTGAGACTAGTACAGTTCCAACATCTTCAGCTGAGACCTCGACAATTTCCACCTCGACCGCTGAGACTACTACAGTCCCGACATCTTCAGCTGAGACCACGACAAGCGCCACCTCGACCGCTGAGACTACTACAGTTCCAACATCTTCAGCTGAGACCTCGACAATCGCCACCTCGACCGCTGAGACTACTACAGTCCCGACATCTTCAGCTGAGACCTCGACAATTGCCACCTCGACCGCTGAGACTACTACAGTTCCGACATCTTCAGCTGAGACCTCGACAATTGCCACCTCGACCGCTGAGACTACTACAGTCCCGACATCTTCAGCTGAGACCTCGACAATTGCCACCTCGACCGCTGAGACTACTACAGTCCCGACATCTTCAGCTGAGACCTCGACAATCGCCACCTCGACCGCTGAGACTACTACAGTTCCGACATCTTCAGCTGAGACCTCGACAATTGCCACCTCGACCGCTGAGACTACTACAGTCCCGACATCTTCAGCTGAGACCTCGACAATCGCCACCTCGACCGCTGAGACTACTACAGTCCCGACATCTTCAGCTGAGATCACGACAGCTGAGACCTCGACAATTGCCACCTCGACCGCTGAGACTAGTACTGTTCCGACATCTTCAGCTGAAACCTCGACAATTGCCACCTCGACCGCTGAGACTACTACAGTTCCGACATCTTCAGCTGAGACCTCGACAATTGCCACCTCGACCGCTGAGACTAGTACAGTCCCGACATCTTCAGCTGAGACCTCGACAATCGCCACCTCGACCGCTGAGACTACTACAGTTGCGACATCTTCAGCTGAGACCTCGACAATTGCCACCTCGACCGCTGAGACTACTACAGTTCCGACATCTTCAGCTGAGACCTCGACAGCCGAGACCTCGACAATTGCCACCTCGACCGCTGAGACTACTACAGTTCCGACATCTTCAGCTGAGACCTCGACAATTGCCACCTCGACCGCTGAGACTACTACAGTCCCGACATCTTCAGCTGAGACCTCGACAATTGCCACCTCGACCGCTGAGACTACTACAGTCCCGACATCTTCAGCTGAGACCTCGACAATTGCCACCTCGACCGCTGAGACTAGTACAGTTCCGACATCTTCAGCTGAGACCACGACAGCCGAGACCTCGACAATTGCCACCTCGACTGCTGAGACTAGTACAGTTCCGACATCTTCAGCTGAGACCTCGACAATTGCCACCTCAACTGCTGAGACTACTACAGTTCCGACATCTTCAGCTGAGACCTCGACAATTGCCACCTCGACTGCTGAGACTAGTACAGTTCCAACATCTTCAGCTGAGACCTCGACAATTGCCACCTCGACTGCTGAGACTACTACAGTTCCGACATCTTCAGCTGAGACCTCGACAATCGCCACCTCAACTGCTGAGACTACTACAGTTCCGACATCTTCAGCTGAGACCTCGACAATTGCCACCTCGACCGCTGAGACTAGTACAGTTCCGACATCTTCAGCTGAGACCTCGACAATTGCCACCTCGACCTCTGAGACTAGTACAGTTCCGACATCTTCAGCTGAGACCTCGACAATTGCCACCTCAACTGCTGAGACTACTACAGTTCCGACATCTTCAGCTGAGACCTCGACAATCGCCACCTCAACTGCTGAGACTACTACAGTTCCGACATCTTCAGCCGAGACCTCGACAATTGCCACCTCGACCGCTGAGACTACTACAGTTCCGACATCTTCAGCAGAGACCTCGACAATTGCCACCTCGACCGCTGAGACTACTACAGTCCCGACATCTTCAGCTGAGACCTCGACAATTGCCACCTCGACCGCTGAGACTAGTACAGTTCCGACATCTTCAGCTGAGACCTCGACAATTGCCACTTCGACCGCTGAGACTAGTACAGTTCCGACATCTTCAGCTGAGACCTCGACAATTGCCACCTCGACCGCTGAGACTAGTACAGTTCCGACATCTTCAGCTGAGACCACGACAGCCGAGACCTCGACAATTGCCACCTCGACCGCTGAGACTACTACAGTTCCGACATCTTCAGCTGAGACCACGACAGCCGAGACCTCGACAATTGCCACCTCGACCGCTGAGACTAGTACAGTTCCAACATCTTCAGCTGAGACCTCGACAATTGCCAACTCGACCGCTGAGACTACTACAGTTCCGACATCTTCAGCTGAGACCACGACAGCCGAGACCTCGACATTGCCACCTCGACCGTGAGACTACTACAGTTCCGACATCTTCAGCTGAGACCTCGACAATCGCCACCTCGACCGCTGAGACTACTACAGTTCCGACATCTTCAGTTGAGACCTCGACAATTGCCACTTCGACCGCTGAGACTACTACAGTTCCAACATCTTCAGCTGAGACCTCGACAATTGCCACCTCGACCGCTGAGACTACTACAGTTCCGACATCTTCAGCTGAGACCACGACAGCCGAGACCTCGACAATTGCCACCTCGACCGCTGAGACTACTTCAGTTGCGACATCTTCAGCTGAGACCTCGACAATTGCCACCTCGACCGCTGAGACTACTACAGTTCCGACATCTTCAGCTGAGACCTCGACAATTGCCACCTCGACCGCTGAGACTACTACAGTTGCGACATCTTCAGCTGAGACCTCGACAATTGCCACCTCGACCGCTGAGACTACTACAGTCCCGACATCTTCAGCTGAGACCTCGACAATTGCCACCTCGACCGCTGAGACTACTACAGTTCCGACATCTTCAGCTGAGACCTCGACAATCGCCACCTCGACCGCTGAGACTACTACAGTTCCAACATCTTCAGCTGAGACCTCGACAATCGCCACCTCGACCGCTGAGACTACTACAGTCCCGACATCTTCAGCTGAGACCTCGACAATTGCCACCTCGACCGCTGAGACTAGTACAGTTCCGACATCTTCAGCTGAGACCTCGACAATTGCCACCTCGACCGCTGAGACTACTACAGTCCCGACATCTTCAGCTGAGACCTCGACAATTGCCACCTCGACCGCTGAGACTACTACAGTCCCGACATCTTCAGCTGAGACCTCGACAATCGCCACCTCGACCGCTGAGACTACTACAGTTCCAACATCTTCAGCTGAGACCTCGACAATTGCCACCTCGACCGCTGAGACTAGTACAGTCCCGACATCTTCAGCTGAGACCGCGACAGCCGAGACCTCGACAATTGCCACCTCGACCGCTGAGACTAGTACAGTTCCGACATCTTCAGCTGAGACCTCGACAATTGCCACCTCGACCGCTGAGACTACTACAGTTCCGACATCTTCAGCTGAGACCTCGACAATCGCCACCTCGACCGCTGAGACTACTACAGTTCCGACATCTTCAGCTGAGACCTCGACAATCGCCACCTCGACCGCTGAGACTACTACAGTTCCAACATCATCAGCTGAGACCTCGACAATTGCCACCTCGACCGCTGAGACTACTACAGTTCCAACATCATCAGCTGAGACCTCGACAATTGCCACCTCAACCGCTGAGACTACTACAGTTCCGACATCTTCAGCTGAGACCTCGACAATTGCCACCTCGACCGCTGAGACTACTACAGTTCCGACATCTTCAGCTGAGACCTCGACAATTGCCACCTCAACCGCTGAGACTACTACAGTTCCGACATCTTCAGCTGAGACCTCGACAATTGCCACCTCGACCGCTGAGACTACTACAGTCCCGACATCTTCAGCTGAGACCTCGACAATCGCCACCTCGACCGCTGAGACTACTACAGTTCCGACATCTTCAGCTGAGACCTCGACAATTGCCTCCTCGACCGCTGAGATTACTACAGTCCCGACATCTTCAGCTGAGACCTCGACAATCGCCACCTCGACCGCTGAGACTACTACAGTTCCAACATCATCAGCTGAGACCTCGACAATTGCCACCTCGACCGCTGAGACTACTACAGTTCCGACATCTTCAGCTGAGACCTCGACAATCGCCACCTCGACCGCTGAGACTACTACAGTTCCGACATCTTCAGCTGAGACCTCGACAATCGCCACCTCGACCGCTGAGACTACTACAGTTCCAACATCATCAGCTGAGACCTCGACAATTGCCACCTCAACCGCTGAGACTACTACAGTTCCGACATCATCAGCTGAGACCTCGACAATTGCCACCTCGACCGCTGAGACTACTACAGTTCCAACATCATCAGCTGAGACCTCGACAATTGCCACCTCGACCGCTGAGACTACTACAGTTCCGACATCTTCAGCTGAGACCTCGACAATTGCCACCTCGACCGCTGAGACTACTACAGTTCCGACATCTTCAGCTGAGACCTCGACAATTGCCACCTCAACCGCTGAGACTACTACAGTTCCGACATCTTCAGCTGAGACCTCGACAATTGCCACCTCGACCGCTGAGACTACTACAGTCCCGACATCTTCAGCTGAGACCTCGACAATCGCCACCTCGACCGCTGAGACTACTACAGTTCCGACATCTTCAGCTGAGACCTCGACAATTGCCTCCTCGACCGCTGAGATTACTACAGTCCCGACATCTTCAGCTGAGACCTCGACAATTGCCACCTCGACCGCTGAGACTACTACAGTTCCAACATCTTCAGCTGAGACCTCGACAATTGCCACCTCGACCGCTGAGACTACTACAGTCCCGACATCTTCAGCTGAGACCTCGACAATTGCCACCTCGACCGCTGAGACTAGTACAGTTCCGACATCTTCAGCTGAGACCTCGACAATTGCCACCTCGACCGCTGAGACTACTACAGTTCCGACATCTTCAGCTGAGACCACGACAGCTGAGACCTCGACAATTGCCACCTCGACCGCTGAGACTACTACAGTTCCAACATCTTCAGCTGAGACCTCGACAATTGCCACCTCGACCGCTGAGACTAGTACAGTTCCGACATCTTCAGCTGAGACGACGACAGCCGAGACCTCGACAATTGCCACCTCGACCGCTGAGACTAGTACAGTTCCAACATCTTCAGCTGAGACCTCGACAATTGCCAACTCGACCGCTGAGACTACTTCAGTTCCGACATCTTCAGCTGAGACCACGACAGCCGAGACCTCGACAATTGCCACCTCGACCGCTGAGACTACTACAGTCCCGACATCTTCAGCTGAGACCTCGACAATTGCCACCTCGACCTCTGAGACTAGTACAGTTCCGACATCTTCAGCTGAGACCACGACAGCCGAGACCTCGACAATTGCCACCTCGACCGCTGAGACTAGTACAGTTCCAACATCTTCAGCTGAGACCTCGACAATTGCCAACTCGACCGCTGAGACTAGTACAGTTCCGACATCTTCAGCTGAGACCACGACAGCCGAGACCTCGACAATTGCCACCTCGACCGCTGAGACTAGTACAGTTCCGACATCTTCAGCTGAGACCTCGACAATTGCCACCTCGACCGCTGAGACTACTTCAGTTCCGACATCTTCAGCTGAGACCTCGACAATTGCCACCTCGACCGCTGAGACTACTACAGTCCCGACATCTTCAGCTGAGACCTCGACAATTGCCACCTCGACCGCTGAGACTACTTCAGTTCCGACATCTTCAGCTGAGACCTCGACAATTGCCACCTCGACCGCTGAGACTACTACAGTTCCGACATCTTCAGCTGAGACCTCGACAATTGCCACCTCGACCGCTGAGACTAGTACAGTTCCGACATCTTCAGCTGAGACCTCGACAATTGCCACCTCGACCGCTGAGACTACTACAGTCCCGACATCTTCAGCTGAGACCTCGACAATCGCCACCTCGACCGCTGAGACTAGTACAGTCCCGACATCTTCAGCTGAGACCTCGACAATCGCCACCTCGACCGCTGAGACTACTACAGTTCCGACATCTTCAGCTGAGACCTCGACAATCGCCACCTCGACCGCTGAGACTAGTACAGTTCCGACATCTTCAGCTGAGACCACGACAGCCGAGACCTCGACAATTGCCACCTCGACCGCTGAGACTACTACAGTCCCGACATCTTCAGCTGAGACCTCGACAATCGCCACCTCGACCGCTGAGACTACTACAGTTCCGACATCTTCAGCTGAAACCTCGACAATTGCCACCTCGACCGCTGAGACTACTACAGTTCCGACATCTTCAGCTGAGACCTCCACAATTGCCACCTCGACCGCTGAGACTACTACAGTTCCGACATCTTCAGCTGAGACCTCGACAATTGCCACCTCGACCGCTGAGACTACTACAGTTCCGACATCTTCAGCTGAGACCTCGACAATTGCCACCTCGACCGCTGAGACTACTACAGTTCCGACATCTTCAGCTGAGACCTCGACAATTGCCACCTCGACCGCTGAGACTAGTACAGTTCCAACATCTTCAGCTGAGACCTCGACAATTGCCACCTCGACCGCTGAGACTACTACAGTTCCGACATCTTCAGCTGAGACCTCGACAATTGCCACCTCGACCGCTGAGACTACTACAGTTCCGACATCTTCAGCTGAGACCTCGACAATTGCCACCTCGACCGCTGAGACTAGTACAGTTCCGACATCTTCAGCTGAGACCTCGACAATCGCCACCTCGACCGCTGAGACTACTACAGTTCCGACATCTTCAGCAGAGACCTCGACAATTGCCACCTCGACCGCTGAGACTACTACAGTCCCGACATCTTCAGCTGAGACCTCGACAATTGCCACTTCGACCGCTGAGACTAGTACAGTTCCAACATCTTCAGCTGAGACCTCGACAATCGCCACCTCGACCGCTGAGACTACTACAGTTCCGACATCTTCAGCTGAGACCTCGACAATTGCCACCTCGACAATTGCCACCTCGACCGCTGAGACTACTACAGTCCCGACATCTTCAGCTGAGACCACGACAGCCGAGACCTCGACAATTGCCACCTCGACCGCTGAGACTAGTACAGTTCCGACATCTGCAGCTGAGACCACGACAGCAGAGACCTCGACAACTGCCACCTCGACCGCTGAGACTAGTACAGTTCCAACATCTTCAGCTGAGACCTCGACAATTGCCAACTCGACCGCTGAGACTAGTACAGTTCCGACATCTTCAGCTGAGACCACGACAGCCGAGACCTCGACAATTGCCACCTCGACCGCTGAGACTAGTACAGTTCCAACATCTTCAGCTGAGACCTCGACAATTGCCACCTCGACCGCTGAGACTAGTACAGTTCCGACATCTTCAGCTGAGACAACGACAGCCGAGACCTCGACAATTGCCACCTCGACCGCTGAGACTACTTCAGTTCCGACATCTTCAGCTGAGACCTCGACAATTGCCACCTCGACCGCTGAGACTAGTACAGTTCCGACATCTTCAGCTGAGACCTCGACAATTGCCACCTCGACCGGTGAGACTAGTACAGTTCCGACATCTTCAGCTGAGACCACGACAGCCGAGACCTCGACAATTGCCACCTCGACCGGTGAGACTACTACAGTTCCGACATCTTCAGCTGAGACCTCGACAATTGCCACCTCGACCGCTGAGACTAGTACAGTTCCGACATCTTCAGCTGAGACCACGACAGCTGAGACCTCGACAATTGCCACCTCGACCGCTGAGACTACTACAGTTCCGACATCTTCAGCTGAGACCTCGACAATTGCCACCTCGACCGCTGAGACTAGTACAGTTCCGACATCTTCAGCTGAGACCTCGACAATCGCCACCTCGACCGCTGAGACTACTACAGTTCCGACATCTTCAGCTGAGACCTCGACAATTGCCACCTCGACCGCTGAGACTAGTACAGTTCCGACATCTTCAGCTGAGACCACGACAGCCGAGACCTCGACAATTGCCACCTCGACCGCTGAGACTACTACAGTCCCGACATCTTCAGCTGAGACCTCGACAATCGCCACCTCGACCGCTGAGACTACTACAGTTCCAACATCTTCAGCTGAGACCTCGACAGTCGAGACGACGACGAGTTGCCACTTCGACCGCTGAGACTAGTACAATCCCAACTACAACCGTTCCAGCAACATCGGCAAGAACGACTACTGGAAGGACGACTTCGACCGCAACTGTTTCAACATCGTCAACAACAACGGCAAAGACGACTACAGCTACAACCACAACAGTTCCAACTACGATGGGCACAACACCAGCGTGCTGTGTTCTGGGAGGTGTTTGGTCTGAATGGGTACAAACCGGAAATTGTAACGACACTTGTGGTAACTGCGGAACAACTACCTATTCAAGAACTTGTCTCTCACAGAGCATGTGTGGTTCGTGCAGGTATTTCATTGAATTCGGGTATTAGTTTTCCAAAAAAAATTTTCCAGTGGCCGCTCATCAAAAACAGGAGAATGTGCTCCAGCACCATGCGAATACCCAAGAGCAACATGTTGTGGTACCAGAACAAAAATTATCGTTGGAAGTACATTCGAATGTTCTGCAGGGGTTAGTAAAGTCATAAGTATTTATTCTTAGCGGATTTATTTCAGGACGATAGTGACCCACCACCATCCACTCTCTGCGCACCGTCTTGCTGTCCATCATCTGGAGGATACTGGTCAGAATGGTCCGATGGAGGTGCCTGCCCAACTTCCTGTGGGTCTTGCTCACAGAAAACTCAACGGCGTGTCTGTCTCTCACCATCTTCTTGCCCATGCAGGTTTGATAATTTTGGTCCAAGTTTTTTTTTATGTATTTAATAATTTTTGTTCAATTTCAGAGGCGCTGATTCTCGTGAAGTCAACTGTGGCATCGGTGTTTGCTATTTCCCACTAGACTCGTGCTGTGCAGGATTTTCGGCTACTGTCATTGATAATGCACATGCATGCGGACCTCAGGTGAGCTCCAAAGTTCGCTACTATTCAGGAGTGAAATTTTCAGCCAAACTACACAACACCATATGCTCCATACGACCCAACATGTTCCGAAACTTGCTGCGCAGAAACTGGAATATGGTCCGAATGGACAACGGCTCCGATGCAATGCAGAGATTACTGTGGATCGTGTGGAAATCAGACAAGAACAAGAGAATGTCTATCGGAAGCAGATGGCTGTCCTTGCCAGTAAGGTTGAGATTACTGTAGCTAAGAAGACTTGTTCTGTTTCAGAGGCCCTTCAACATTGACTGAACCATGCGGGGTTGGAGTTTGCTATTTCCCAAGGTTGAGTTGCTGTCCAGGATTTAGTGCAACAGTTATCAACAATGCACACACCTGCGGACCATTGGTAAGTCTTTGAAAAACCTGTTAAAACAAAATAACGATTTTCAGCCCACCCAAGTAGCGGAACCCGAAAAAATAAACACTTGCGGTGTAAACTGCTGCCCGAGCGCAGGAATTTGGGGAGAATGGACCACTGCAATTGCTTGTAACGATACATGTGGATCTTGTGGTACTACAACAAGATCTAGAGTTTGTCTGTCATTACAGTATGGTTGCAGCTGCACGTGAGTGTCAAAGTTTGTGAGAAAAGTTTATAATTTCGGTTTCAGGGGCGCTGCCACGGATTCTCAACCATGTGCTTCTTCGGTTTGTTTGTACCCAAGAGCATCTTGTTGTCCTGGCTACAAAAAGACAATTGATGTGGCCACTAAGAGCTTCTTCTGTGGTCCATTGCCAACAACACCAGCTTTTAATCCCGAGCAGACGACTTGTTGTGATCCAGGTAAGCG